TCTGGTTGGGTTTTTCCTCACTTAGGTTTCTCTCAAAGTCGTCAGAGAAAGGGTTGCTATCAAATGACAAGTGTCAAGTTCTCTCTAGAGCACAAGTGGTTGTAGGGGGCGGCTATTTATCGCCAGGGGCAACCCAACATGAATCATTAATGCCCCTTCGAACATGGTCGTTGTCAGGATAAGGATCCACTCGACAGTTGGCACACAACGTAGCAACGGTTGGAAAGTTAAACTCTCAATTTCGTCGGGGCTCTCGATTCCTCATGATAGATAGATCGCACTGGCGAAATCCTAATTAACTCCTCAGCCTGACCAAATTCGTCAGACACCAGATGAACTTCGTCACTGTCGCTAGCAAAGTCGTGAGTTGTTCCGAAGATTTCCAAAGGTTTCACTCGAAGCGGCTTGTGTAAGTATAGGTTTTAGCATCACTTTGGAAGTGTGAAATATTTTTCACCTAGACCCCCTTTAACAGTACGATTTTTCCTATGACTCAAATAGGAAGACAGAAATTATGAAAACAAAGTCTTGAAGCTTCAAAGTCTTCACGTCAATTTCTTCAAAGGCCGTACCAATTTCTTCGCTTGAAGAAATACATTTTTAGGGGTCGTCTTTCGCCAGTTAAACAAAATCTTCAGGGAGTATAACTCATGTGCACACTCAATCTATTTGTCTTTAATACTCCAAAACCACCAAGGGGACACTTGATGCACTTACGGCCACCGGAATAATCACAGAGAAATTAGCCACCGAACCATATTAACCAAAGTATATCAGTTCATAGCACAGTTCAAGATATCGACCGATATTCTGATAAATCGGCCGATTTATCGCTTACCGGTGTCTAGGCGATAAGATAAATTGGCCGATATGCCGATAAACCAGTCGCTTTACCCCTTATCTTAGGTCGACCGATAAGTTCCCGATAGGAGATATCCCCAATATTGGTTCGCGGTTAACCAGAAAACCAAAGTACACTCTTCAATACATCTCCCTCTTTGATCTTTATTTGGTTCTGACATCTAACAATTGAACAAGAATAAGACCAGTCAGTGTTTAATTCGGTCAAGCAAACAAGTGTACTATGTACATAGTAAAACATAAGATCACGTGGAACATGAAAAGTGTTATATAAGAGAGAATACATGTGATGTCTCTAAAGTGTGCAACTTTCATTTTGTACCATCTTTTAGGGAATTTGATAGTATCATATATGTTAGTTTTAGACTGCTAGATCGATTTACCCACGAGCTATACAAGTGCAAGCTAGCGCTGGCACACACGCAGTTTGATTGATTTTCCGGCCGTCGTATGTAGCGTCTAGCCGATGCGCACTTATATACTTACGCGAGCTCCCGTAAAAAAATACTTGCGCGAGCTTGTAGGCCTAGCCATTGATTTGATCGTTTCTTGCCGGAAAAGTCTAGCAGCGTCTTGGCTTATGCCTAACCATAGACTAATTAATAATTTGTTCCATTGGCAACGCACACTGCTCATGTACACAAGAAGATACATGGATCAAAATAGTATAAATACTTGTTATAAGGATACACCAGCTTATGACAATCGTTTCATGTAAAACAATACTAAAATATTCCTAGTAGATCAAACTAATCACTAGCATGGAAAATATGTACTAGTGTATTACCTACTTGTATTGAAATTTGAGAGATTAAAACTTGGATTGGCCCGCGATATACTTGTGAGCGGATGGCTTATGTCCGTCGCAATAAATGGATTTGTTGCTGACTGCCGAGTACCAACTCACCGGAGCCGGCTCGATGAGTAGTTACAAGGAGTGGGAGCCGACTGATGAAGCGATGGAGAGATGGCTGATTTCTATGTCCTAAGTTTACGGACGTGTGTGATCGCGGGGTGATTACATTAGGTAAAATCAGGGACTGTTGCCATGTCGGGCTGAAGGACAAATGGGCTGGGGTTTAGGATTTAGGGTCATGTACGGCCATTGTAAATAATACTGATTCTTCGGTGATTATGGTAGGAAACCGAACATACACCGAACACCGAATAGCAAACGAAGTTGCCACGGAACTGAACAACCGTACAACGAATAAACAGACAAATCGGTTAAATCGTTTCAGTTTTCGGTGTGACAGTGCCCACCCCTAGGTGCATTAGTTAGTCCAGAAGGCATGACTAATCACTCATGTAAAGCCAAACTTAATTTTAATTTTTTTTAATTCATCTTTCAATTTCATATAAATTTGACGCTGTCCACTAGGCAAATCAACTTTGGGAAATATGATGGAGCCACTTAATTCACCAGTCATATCATTTAGCCGCCTAGCAATAGGATGACGATATTTAAAGGTAATATTATTAGTGGCTCTACAATATCACGTACACACAATGTACCATCCTTTTTCGGCAATACTATAGTAAAAAAACACAAGGATTAAGGGATTTACCTATATAACATTTGTCGAATAGCTCCTGTACTTGATTTATAATCTCCTTTGTCTCCTCCAGATTGATACAATGTGGTGTACGGTTTGACAACAAGGCACCGAAAATTATGTCAATATGATGCTAAATCCCTCAAATAGGTGGTAATCCTAGTGGCATGTCTTCTTGTGGAACGACGTCAATGAACTCCTGCAAAATGTTCGTGACAATAGGACGCAAAGAGCGAGGCAAGTTCTCGAATGCAAAATAATGCCTCTCTGCACACAAAAGCATAGCAAACAGATTTGTTGAAATCCAGATCAGTAATATCAGATTTGGTGGCAAGTAAACATGCACTTTTTAATTTTATTTCGAAGGCAACACTAGATGGTGGCTTGTTATTAGGCTTATGACGTTTCTCAAATTCTTTTGCCACAACCTGATTTTCACTCTTGTTTTGTTCCTGCTTTGCTTTACAAACTCTAATAATATCATCTTTCAAAATTTGTTCAGGAGAGATAGGAAGCGGAGTAATACTTTTCCTTATGAACAAGAGTGTATTGATTTTTCTTATCATGATGTACATAATTTTTATCAAATTGCCCCGGTCTACCAAGTAAAAGTGAGTATTCTTGCATTGCTACCACATCACAATCAATAAAATCAGCATATACAACAATATTAAAATGCACATGAATAGTACGTGTTACCTTAGCCTTGCAACAGTTGTTGAACCATTGTATTTAGTAAGGATGTGGATGTGGTATGGTGGTGAGAGAGACTTCTCCACCATCTCCATGGTAGCCAATTTGTTGCAACTCCCTCCATTGATGATGATGCGGACACAACATTCCTTCACAACCCCCTTTGTATGGAAAAAATTATGACTCTGATTGTGCTCAGTCGGTGTTACCTGCACACTCAAAATATGTTGAGCAACTAAACTTTCATAACTCTCAGCGTCTTCAGCAGTCAACTAAACTGAACATCAAAGCCACTCCCCGACCAATGTTGTTCACCTCCAAAGAACAACAACTCTACCTGAACTTTGCTTGCCGACACACCAACCACTCTTGAAGGCCAAAAGGAGTCGACGAGCGGGTGGAGGCACTCTGTCAACCTAGGAAAGTGCATCATCTTCGACTCACCAGAGGTGGCGTACGTTGTAGCCCTGAAGATCGACCCAGAGCTGCGGCAAGCACCAAAGGAACCCGTTGATCCCAACAAATGGCTCATACTAAGGGCATGTTTGGTTCGTATACTAAGGCTCTGCTCGGAAGCCCTCCAGCTTCAGCAAATCGACGACACCAGCTTCATGTGCCAGCTTCCAGGTTCTCGCGAGGAGCTGCGCATGTTCGGAGGTTGTGGCCAGCTTCTCCAGCGCCTGCATGGGCCGCTCTTATTTTAGCTTTGCATGGGCTAGCACTGCTGGCTGGTTCGTATGACAACTCAGGAGAAAATGAATCGAATTGGTACCAAGTTAGCGGTGGCAATCCCTATGTACTTTTGACGAACTCCACAGTCTGGGCTTGGGGGAGCTGGACTTGCCTCGCTCCACCGATTTGTGCTACGTGAGTCCTCCGCTTCATGGAGCTGGATCCATGGAGCCGAGGCATTCGGCCCAGCTCCTTGCACGGAGCTGGAGAGCTTCCGAACGGCTCCTAAGCTTCCATCTTTCTTCATGCAACAAATTAGGCAAGTTCAACTAAGTGAGCTTGGTTTGCAACACACTTGTGACAAGATTCCTTTCATGCAATCTAGATCCCATGTGTCACCAACTCAGAAAAGTTTGACAAGATTATCTCAAGTGTGGCAAAGTGTGGCGTCAATTTTGGTCGCGTAACCTTAGGCATGTGTGGCAAAAAGGCATGGCAAATGATGACAACCTTATTATGTGAATCGAAACTTATTTGGTTTCGTCATGTGCAATCAATAACATAAGATTTGCAATAAAAAATGGTATCATATCAATTTTTCACAAGATTTTATATATGTGCAGAAGTAATTATCAAAAGTTGCATTGTGGAGATCGTGTCCGGGTAAAAAAACACCATCTATGCATGAACGGAGATGGTATTTCCTTTTTGTTTGATGAACGTGAAAATGTTCTAGGGAGTATGAGGATATTAATGGACCTACTAATGTTATTTGTCGACACAATTATGGACTAATTTTGTACCAAGAATTCCAAATATGAGGTTGTTGTTTTTTTTTTTTTTGCAAAAGTCAGGTTGCTTGTATGATATGATATCTGATGTAACATTACTTTTAATCAAGCATATTTTTCATCCCGCATCACACTTCATAAGGAAATCTTCGTTGGAAGTTGGAGCACCATCTATGCACTGACCTGTCAATTTGTCATGAAGAGTACCGTCATTTTCACATACACCTGTACCAATTAACTATGATATGTAACTATCAGAAAACATATCACAGTTAAACTACCAGCTTGTACGATACGGTGTGCATGCCGATCGATCTGCGGTATCAGCACAGCTCCTCCTACTGATGCGCCCTCTCCATATATATATAGCTCCACATGCAATGTAAGCGATCAACTATCTTGTGTTAGGTTGGTGCTGCGAACCTTTATGCCAATGTCTTCCCAAGAAACCAAAATGGCACTGCTTGGAAACCTAACGACAGGCATCCGCCAGGTCCGGCAGGCGCAGCGCGCGGACGGCCCAGCGTGCGTTCTGGCCATCGGGACGGCGAACCCGGCGAACTGCGTGCAGCAGGAGGAGTACGCCGACTACTACTTCCGCGTCACCAACAGCGAGCACCTCACCGAGCTCAAAGCCAAGCTCAACCGGATATGTACGTACTGCCTGAACGCCCAACCAAAATGGATATGGATCAGGCAACTGAAATTCCTTTTTTGGTCCGGTCATATCGTACGTGTTCTCCAGGTACCAAATCGGCCATCAAGAAGCGCTACTTCCACCACACGGAGGAACTGCTGCAGGGTCACCCTGAGTTCCTCGACCGCACGTTGCCATCCCTGAAAGCCCGGCTGGACATCACGGCCACCGCCGTTCCCGAGCTCGCGGCAGCCGCGGCGGCTGCAGCTATCGCCGAGTGGGGCCGCCCGGCCGCCGACATCACACACCTCGTGGTCGGCACCTACGCCAGCGCCCACATGCCGGGCGCCGACCACCGTTTGGCCTCCCTCCTCGGCCTCGACCCGTCAGTCCGCACCACCATGCTCTACGTCAACGGCTGCGCCAGCGCGTGCGCCGCGCTCCGGGTCGCCAAGGACATCGCCGAGAACAACCGCCGCGCGCGCGTCCTCGTCGCCTGCGCCGAGCTCACTCTCATCATGTTCCGCGCTCCCCAGGAAGGGCACCTTGACACGATCATCTCGCAGGCGCTGCTCAGCGACGGCGCGGGAGCCATGATCATCGGCGCCGACCTCGAGGGCTCGGAGGGCTCGCTTTTCGAGATGGTGGCCGCGTCACAGACCGTGGTACCGGCGACGGCACACGCCGCAGTTGGACAGTTTGGCGAAGAGGGGTTCCTGTTCCACCCTTGCATCGAGATGCCAGCGATAGTTCGCCAGAACGTCGAGCGGTGCCTGGTTGACGCGCTCGGGCCGCTTGGCTTGAGCGGTCGCTGGAACGACCTCTTTTGGGCGGTGCATCCCGGAGGGCGAGCAATCTTAGACGGCGTGGAGGAGGTACTCCAGTTGGAGCCCAAGAAGCTGGCGGCAAGCAGACATGTGCTGAGCGAGTACGGCAACATGTCCGGGGTGTCCGTCATCTTTGTGCTGGACGAGATCCGGCGCCGCCATGACGAGCACCGCGGTCTGGGGGTAATGCTGGGAATTGGACCGGGGCTCTGCCTGGAGACGATGGTGTTGCACGCATGCATGTAACACCTAATGTTGCCACGCAATAATCACCATTACGGTGGGAAAAACTACAAATAAATGCAAAAAAATTCGACGATGGTGTTGCACGCATGCATGTAACACCTAATGTTGCCACACAATAATCACCATTACGATGGGAGAAACTACAAATAAATGCAAAAACTTCTTCAAATCGGACTTCGTGAGCATATGATTATTCCTCTTCAACTTGCTAATTGCAAAATTAGCAAAAAATTCCGTCGCCTGGACTTGAACCCGGGTCTCTCTGGTGAGAGCCGAGTAGCCTAACCACCTAGACTACGACGGATCTTGGGAGCCTGAATGCAGTTCTGCTTACTTATGCACAAAAAGAATGGGTACTTCGTAAAGCAAATGTCGCGGGTAAAATCGCAACCAAGTTATTCTTTGCTTGTCCACGTGCATCTATCACAGGCGAACGAATGACCGATCGACAAGGAGCCAGCAAATAGAGCTCGCCGCAGGCTGTCCTCGCCAAGAATGCTGCGGCGACAAGAGCCCCCAGACCTGCCGTGCACCTTCAAATCAAGAAAATAGAAGCTCTAAACATAGACAACTTGCCCTGAATAACCCTCCCGCCGTTGCTCTCAAGCTCGGTATATATACCCGTCCATGGCAAGAGGAGAAGAAGCTGCTAGCCATCTGGAATCAGCCTCCTCCCTGTTTGTTGTACTCCCATTCCTCCTCCTTTACAAGTAGGTGAACAAGCTAGAGGGAGAGGCATGGACGGTGGAAAGGACAAAGGTGCAGGTGGATACAGCGGGTACCCCGGTGGCTACCCTGCTCCGGCGGGATACCCCGGTTACCCGGTTCCAGTAAGCACGTATCCGCCGGCGCCCGGATATGCTGCTCCGCCTGGGCAGTATGCGCCACCTCCCGGCGCGTACCCTCAGCCCGGGGGTTATCAACCGCCGCACGTTGCGTATCCTCCGAGCGGGTACCCTGCGACCGCTGGGTATCCGCAATATCCTCCTACGACCCACCCTCCAGCTGGTTATCCCGCTCAAGGGCCACCAATGCAGGTTCCTCCTTATGGTATGTCCTTTTACACACACTTCATTTGTTCATTTGTGTGTTTATTTATATATTGAAATGGTATCTGCTCTATTTGTTAAATTTTATCTCTAATATATACTCGTAGTACATAAGTATTCAGATTTTTCTCTCCAAAAAATATATATTCAGATTTACAGTATCAAAATTATTATTACATTTGTCGCTAAAACATAGTATGTTTATTGGATAGTACTTTGGAAAAAATTACCGACAACAAATAGAAACGGCAACCATCAAGTATGCATGTTCATGTCCAAAAATGCCAAGTAAAAAGCAATCAGATCTAATAAAAGAAATAAAAATGGCACTTCCCAGTTTACATGGAGGCATGTTATGGACTCGGTCGAGTCAACTTACAAGCCATTTTGTTCAGGTCAAGCTCCTATGTACGGGGGAGGCAGCCATGGCGTAGCAGGCGGTATGATTGCCGGCGGCGCGGCAGCGGCAGCCGCAGCATATGGAGCTCACAAGGTGTCACACGGCGGCGCCCACGGAATGTACGGCCACGGGCACCACCACGGCAAGTTCAAGCATGGCAAGTTCAAGCACGGCAAGTTTGGCAAGCACAAGAAGATGTACGGGCGCAAGTGGAAGTGAAGAGGGGAAAAGATACGGCTACTCGGATGTACGTACGTACTACGTAGACAACATGTAGACCCGTATAATTCGCCATCTTGCTCTCTCACATCTCACCAATGACTCCTCGCTTGTGCCGCTCAGAAGGGGAAAAAATGTGATCACCTGTGTTACCGTTCCTTTTTCTTCCGAGGATCACTAGCAGCCTTATTTGTTGATGAACAATGTTCATACGAATACAAGCAAACTCGCAGAAAATATGGGATTTGTTCTAGTGTTTCTAGTCTAGTACTGTAGTACTAGCAACACATGGGATCTCCAATTCTCCAAAGATAGACGGTGCATGATGGTGTTTACGGAGTCTCCGCCTCTCCGGGCATCAAGCCTGACGAAACTGCTTGGGTAACTTCAGCTTGGGTAACAAAGCTACTCCCTCTAGATAAATCCGTTCGAGCGACAAGTAATATGGATCCGAGGGAGTACTGTGTTTCTCTCCTATGCTTCTCCTACCCTAACTCGCCCCAAGTTCTAGTTCTAGTTCTTCAATTCTTCCTCTTGTCATTGGAATCCCCAGATACGAAATCACAGGTGGATCGGGTCTCATAACAGGTCCATTACTTGTAATTTATGTGCAAGTAAATGCCTTTTCATTGTACAAAAGACGCACACAGGACATGTCATGCAGGTTCCAACCTAGCACGGGGTGGCATAAAACTGAACTTCATGCTGCAAGGACTTCATGCACATCAAATTTAGCTTGTTTATCCAAGACACTGATGCTTCTCAGTTAAAAGGAAGACGGCACAGATGCTTCAGATGTTATCTTTTTCTTCCCCTCAGCATGTCCACCTGCCTTCTGCTTTTCATGATCAATCATCTGCACCTTTATCCTGTAAGTAGCTCCTATGGCGGTGGCGATGATTGCGAACCAGGTCACCGGCGTTTTCCTGCAGACAAACCACCGTCAAAAACAGGACTCATATCCCCGTTACCTGACGAATCTAGGTAGCTACACATTTGATGGAAAAGAATGACAGGGCACGTACAAATTGAAGGGTTCGTCCCACAGTATCGTACTGTAGAATACACCGCCGCCGGTGGAATGCTTCCGCTGCGAATCACAAGGGATGGGCGCAGAACTGTGAGTATTTAACCCAGTAACTGAAAATTACCCTGAAGCCTGAACCTAGGAAATTGATTGAACGTGGGTGCCTACCCTGAAGGCGGTGAAGCTAGGCCCAGAGCTGCCGCGTCCGCCGCCCTTGCTGAGGAAGTGAGCGGCCGGTGCCAGGTGCCGGAGGGCGGATCGGAGCGTCGCCATTCGCCCGGTTGACGCGGGCCCTCCGATTGAGGACGGGACGCCGATCGATGCGGCGATGGCTGCAACGACCTCGGCTTGGATGCCTCTTGTTCTCGACCGTGTTGTGCTGGCTGCCGGGTAGTGTTATGGTTGGGGGATCTCCGGGTTGGCTGCGGGGCATGTTATTTGCAGGAGCACCTCCGGTTCCCAGTACGAAGCCGATTGAAAGTCGAGAAGGCGAGCCGTGGATCCGCCATTGTGTCGGCTCTTAAAAAAATAGTGAAGGGTTCATAAATTTCAAGTGAACCCTCCAACTATTTGAAGGGGTGACTTCCACAAAATCAGGACCGACTTCTGAAAATTTGACAATGAACATTCATAAACTTCTTATGGATTTCCAAAATTTGGTGGAATCAACTTTCTACAACATGCAAATAGGCCTCAAGATTTCCCTTCCCGTTGCTCCGTTGGCATCCCGACTACTTAATTTGGAGGCAACAAGTGCCACAAATTATTCATTTATCTTTCTTGAGAAAAGCTCACTTAAGGAAGTGCCACAAATTATAATGTGTTTTCCCTACAATTCATCGCATATCTCTCACTTTCTTGAGAAAGGTTTTTTTATAACCATGAACCATGGTGCTAATTTTGATTTGACCTTAAACCATGAAATCGTCCATACCAACCATGAAATTTTTGGGACGCCAATCCCTGACGAGTGGTCGCTAGGAGGGACTGCAACCGCAAACGCCTCAGCATTTCATGGCTGGGGTGAAAAAACTGCCACAACAATTTGTTTAAATTGAGGGGAATTATTGGCGAAAACTGCCACAATCAGATCAAGATCAGATGACTCTGGGATCCCACCCCTAGCGAATGTTCGCCAAATATCTATACCAAACGTTTAAGAATTTTGCTTCAGCTCAAGCGCACTTCCAAATATTGGATTTGCATTTCGGTGTTTTCTGAAAAATAAAACAAAAATGTAGGGAATCGGGGGAGGAAGGTGGAGGAAGTGGGAGGAAGGGAGGGATTTTGAACCCGCCCTCGGGAAGGAGAACAGAGCAAGAGCACCACTGTCGACAGTGAGGTCGACGCGAAATCAACCAAGGGTTTCCCCTAGACCCCACCACTCCCTCGAAACCAACTAGACTCGACAACTAAGACGAAACTGAATCTTGATCCGGCGAGGGCAGACAAAGCCGGGATGTGGACACCGGGATCCAGATAAGGAGCATCCACCGGAGCAGACCCCGTCTCGAAGAGCCTCTATCGCCCATGCAAGCATTAGGGACAACCAACACCCGCTGCCGCACCCATCGGGAGAAGTCGGACATCGGCTAGCAGCATGATGACCCCCTTCTATAGAAGTGTTACATAGTAGCAGCCCTCGGACACCGACGAGATGCGCAGGGTCGCAGCACCATGAGCGTGTCGCACTCGGACGCTGGTTTGCGGCACCACGAACTCTGCCTCCCCGATGATACCCAAGCATCAGTGGTGGGCGACAGGTGGAGGAGGAGAGGGGAGCAAGGTTGTAGAAGTGGCAACGACCAGCGTCAACACCCGCTCACGTATCTAAATCGACAGAGGGATCTGGGACAGAGAGAAAGGAGAGAACAGAGTGCTGGGGAATATGACCAGCGGCTGGGCGAACCTTCCCGATATGATAAGGTGGAGAGTTACGCCGGGCCTGCTGAGCACGTGTTGTCTATTGGAGGTGTTAGAATAAATCCGAAGCACTCCATTGATCATCTGAGGACCAAGCAATCACACAAGCACGACACCGAGATTTGTTAACGAGGTTCACCGATATGGCTACATCCCCTCGGCTTGACTGCGGGCGCTCCTCCCCGTGACACCGTCAAAATACCACACCCTGGCCGCCCGGGCGCCGGCACACGCCGCCGGCTCCCCCGCGTGCATGTGCTATTATGTTGGCATAAGTTACATCGTGTGTCTATCCCCGATATATATGAGAGGCCTAGGATACAAGTGTCCTATTAGGACACGACTTCGAAATCCTATCTACACACCGTACGTCTCCAAGTCCAATTGTAACCTACCTTGTACAAATAATATTCGACACAATTCTAACAAACTCCACCTTGGCGAATATTCTTCACCACCTTGAATTCATCCATGCGTCGAACCTCCATGTACATTGGACTTGAGAACGCCATGAGCACCGCTGCTACTCCCAGACTCGATGTGACTCCGTCTGCAACTGTAGTCCCTTCTCGTCTTCTTCACAATCAACACTCGAGCAAAATTAAGTTTCTCATTACTCTACTTTGTGCTCCCAACTTCCGGAGTATCCGTTCAACGCCATCACACCGACCAGTGTCTGCGTGAAAATGAACAACCCACATATTGGACGCCACATATAAGAGTTACCTGAACTCAACGTTGCCGCTCTTTCTTGACCGTTTGTCTGAATCTTGAAGGAATTTCACCGTCACCCTGTGTCACCCTGAGTCAAATTCGCAGTTGTCTCACCCTTCTTCCGGATAGTCTCTGGCATGTCCCACATCTATGGCACTCCGCCGCCTCCTGTATTTGTCATCCACACATTGCCATGTGCACTGAACACCACAGAATATATGGCCATATACTCTCTCAGCTTTTGACAACTTCAGACTCTCCGCCCCTTTCTCAGATTCCCTATGGTCCACTCTCATCCATTTGACATGTGAAACTCGATAGATCTAGTCACCAACTTGAACCTGGTACTCGCCAACACTGCTTCAGCACCCCTGCACACTTTATCTGACCACATGTCTGATCACTAGTGCCTTGGCCTGTCGATGTGTCCCGTGCTTACTGCACGCCTCGCCGCTATCACCGCATCGAGCCTTTGCTGTCCTGGTCGAGTCTCCCGGGTCGCGAACCCACACCACTCAACCTCCACTACAGAGAACCACCGATCATCACCGATCGATGCCGAGTATCACATCTCCATCAGACCACTGGTACCCAGTCTAAAACCACGTGTATCTTGCTATCACGTTGAAATAGGCTTCGACTCTCCGTTAACTTACGTCGTAGCCCCTCCATCAGCTCGGAGTGAAGTCATCCATCAGATTCCAGCTCCACCTTCAACATGACTCCATGGTGGTTGTACCTGCCACCCTCCCGCGCCCTATCGACCCCAAGCTCTCATGTGCACCGTCTTGAATCAACCCCGCGCCATAGTCTGTCGAAGCCGCACAAGCCCTCAGACCTGCACCACGTGTTTCCACGCCCCAGAAGCAGGCCACCATCAGCATCACGCTCCTGTGTCGTCGTCGCTGAAATCACCTGCCGTCTTCTGCTTTGACAAACATCTGCGTCGATCCATCAGACTGTTCAGTCCGACCCAGCCGACCTTATCCGACTGCAACCATGCTTCACCCTGCATCATCTTTGCCCGCACATCCGTGCATTGCTTGACGCCCTGTATTTGCATGTTCCCTGCCACGCACTCCAGGCCCCGCGAACCTTATGCGCACGTCCTAGACCTGCCAGCAAACCGATAGAAAACACACTGCAATTAGCAACACATCCTAAAGAAAATAACTTCCGGGTAGTCTCGTGGTTCACCAAGCATGTGCCTAACAACTCCCAATGTCATTGCCTTTCATGTTGCCATCCATGCCATGTAAATACCGTCATCATGTGCAGACTACTCCTTTTTTTTGTCCAAACAAATCTCACACGCCATCTCGTCGCACACCCTGGCAAGCGGGTCCACGCGCGCCGCCAGCCACCAATCGCATCTCGTCGACACCAAGACGCCAAGAAGTTCTGCTGCTACACAATTCCGCCGAGATCCGCATCTAGCTTGCTGCCCGATCAAAAACAAACCCGACGGCATCGATCATCGATCAGCCAAACGAATCCCACGTTGACAACTTCCAATGGTTCCTCCGGTCGCTACCATCAACATGAACAAAACCCCGCCGCACCATCGATCTTCCTTGCAGTCGCCAATTGAACAACTGATTACTGTGTGACCGATTTGATGAGATATTCTGCTCCTTCCTCTAAATCAACGAATCGCGACCTCCTCCTAATCTTGCTCATGATACCACTTGTTAGAATAAATCTAAGGCACTCTGTTGATCATCCGAGGACCAAGCAATCACACAAGCACGATATCGAGATTTGTTAACGAGGTTCACCAATATGGCTACATCCCCTGGGCTTGACTACGGGCGCTCCTCCCCGTGACACCGTCACAATACCGCACCCTGGCCGTCCGGGCGCCGGCACACGCCGCCTCTACCCCCGATATATATGAGAGGCCTAGGATAAAAGTGTCCTATTAGTACACGACTCTGTAATCCTATCTACACACCGTACGTCTCCGAATCCAATTGTAACCTACCTTATGTAAATAATATTCGACACAATTCTAACATGATGAGGTTGGTTTCTTAAAGAAATCATCCGGCTAGATTTAAGGATTTTCCTTCTGTAAAAGGACGTAGCAAAATATACATCAAAATGCGAATTTTTGCATGGAGATTAGTCAGGTCCTCGCTGCCAACGGGTCAAGAAAGGTCAAGGAGATATATGGCCACATCCTCGGTCTGCACTATGCGACACAACTACTGATTCATGGCGCCACGCCCTCCTCGAGTGTCACATGGCGAAGAGTGTTTGAGCTCTCAAGAAAGACCGCACAGTCTTGTCGGTGTTTGGGGACAAAACGACTGATCCAAAGCTATAATTATTCAATTTGAATGACACATTGTCTAAGGAACAACTATTTGAGGTGTTGGCTACACTTTGGTGTTGGGGAACGTGGTAATTTCAAAAAAATTCCTACGCACACGCAAGATCATGGTGATGGCATGGAAATGAGAGGGGAGAGTGTTCGTCCACGTACCCTCGTAGACCGTAAGTGGAAGCGTTAGCACAACGCGGTTGATGTATTCGTACGTCTTCACGATCCGACCAATCCAAGCACCGAACGTACGGGGCCTCCGAGTTCAGCACACGTTTAGCTCGATGACGATCTCCGGCCTCTGATCCAA